GTGCCCGGGAGGTGGCAGGCCAGGTAGCCAGGGCTCTGAGTAGTGGGTGCCTTGCGTGGACTTGGGGGCTGTTTCTTAACCACCACTTGTGTCCGGATGACTGGGAGGGGTGGGAGGCTTGTTAAAAAATGCTGGTTCCTTGGGCCTACCACACCCAGCTTATGGGGTACCATGGGGCTCTGGGGTGGGGGCTGCTGGTGAGTGTGGGCTGGAGGGGCCCTCGGGGGGCACAGGCAGGTGGGCAGCAGCCAGGGCCACTTCCCTCGGGGTCACTGGCCCGGCCCTTGCTTGGGTTCAGTCCTGCCCTTGGGCTGTGCCTCCCCCTCCCTTCCCTGCCCTGGCACCCACAGGGAAACTGAGGCACAGGCTGTGTGCACAGCCTGCCCAGGAGGGACCTGCTTTACTCTCTGTGCACACTGCAGGCCTAGGCCCCCACACTAGCCAGGCTGGGCCAGGGGTGGTGACTCAGAGCACTGGTTTCCTCCTCAGTCAGCTGCTCAAGCGTGGGGGGGCTCAGGGTGGGGCCCCCGGCTGGCAGTGAGGGGGGCTGGCCAGTGAGGAGGCTGGCCAGTGAGGGGGCTGGTGGGGTTCCTGGCCACGCCCTCTGGTGGGCGTGGGGATCCTGGCAGGGCTCCCAGGGAGGGCGGGATGGTAGAGATGGGTGGGGCTGGAGGGAGGCGGCCAGCTGGGGACCTTCCCGGTGGGGCCAGTCTGCCTGGAGAGCGTCCTCCGGCCTCCTCAGTAAGCTGTGCTGTCTTCTGGACCTGCCCCTGCACCTGGTCTCCTTCCTGGACCAGCCCTGGGGCACCTGCCCACCTCAGCTCTCAGCAGGTCTGTGGGGGCCGGGCAGGCAGCCAGCGAGGGCCGCTGGAGGGGCATAGCGGGGCTGGGCCTCCCCTTAGCCCTTCTGATGTTGAGGGCAGGGGTGTCAGTTCATGGTGGCTCCAGCGCAGTGTCGGCTGAGCCCCGGGCATGCAAGGTGTGTGGCTAGACTCTGGGGCTGCCTGGCCCTGGGCAGGTGGGGACAGTGGCTCTTGTTTCAAGGAAGCCTGGGCCATGGGGGAGGCTAATGCCAAGGGCCCCTGAATGGCTTTTCAGCCCCAGGACCTGCGAGCCCCAGGTTGGGCCTGTGGCCTGGGGAGGGGACCTCAGTTGGTGTACCCTGTCCTGGTGGTGCACGGGGTTCCTGGGTGGCTGTGGAGGGCACTCCGAGCAGATCCAGGTGTACTTTCCCGGAGGCACCCAGGGGGCTCTGGGGGCCTGGGGCAGTGGGCTACCCAGTCATGGGGTCACCCCGTCCCTGGCATCTGGGGTGCTGGGCTGGCAGCCCAGAGGAACAGGCATGAGCTGACCCGACCTGGCTGGGATGGACGTGGGAGAGCTGCTCCTTTTAGCCCCTGAGTCCCCTGGCACTGTGGGCCTCAGGTGCAGAAGGTGAGCCAGGCCCGCCCGCTGTCCCCCTCCCCAGTGACCGGGCCCACCTGAGGGGGCTGGACTTACTCCTTTCCAGGAGATCTGACCAGTGTTCTCACACCTTTTCCTCATCCACTCCCTGCACTGGCATATCCTGTACACCTACTGTGTGCCAGGCTGGGTGTTTAGTGAGCAGAGTGTTCTGGGGGCAGGGACTAGGCAGTGTCCAGAAGCCACAGCAGGGTGTCCACGCCCAGTCGGAGAGTTTGTCCAGAGGCAGAAGGGAGGCTGGAGCAGCGCGGCACAGAGAGGCTTCCAGGCCTGGCTGACCTGAGGACGGCAGAGGGAGCTATGGGGGTTGTTTCGGGAGGGGGTGAGGTGAACCCCCTTGTAACTGCAGCTGGCCGGGCTCCCCACCCTTCTGGAGCTGGGAGGCAGAGGCAGCTGGCTCTGCCCCATCATCCCGAGCTATCTGGAGCAGCATCGGGAGGGAGTGGGCAGGCCCTCCAGCGCCCGTGGGCGTCGCCCAGGAAAGTCTGAAGGTCCCATGACTCCTCGTGCAGCTCCCGAGCGGGCTGAGCTGAACTTGCGTGTGAGGCTGTGTGTGCCGTGGGCCCCGGGCCCACCCCACGAGGCAGGGACCCACAAGGCTCCCCCAGCCAGGGCCTCACTGGGGTTGTCCGCTGGTGCTCAGAGAGAGAGGGAGAGGCCCAGTCAAGTCCACACATGTCCCCATGCACGGGCACGCGTGTCCTGTGAGCACTCACGTGTGTACACCCCCGCAGATGTGGAGTGGGCTGTGCTGCCCACCCAGGATGGACCTCTCAGGCCACTGGGGGTCCGACAGCCCCACCTAGTCTCGTACAAAACTCCTCCCTGCCATCCTCCGTGTCCCTAAGAACCCCATTGCCCTGGTGACATGCAAACATGTCCACCATGCCTGGTCCTGCCTGGAGGCTGGAGCTGGGCCCTGAGGGTGCCAGTTTGGATGCAAACTTGGGTTTTGTTTAAGCAAAATACCCCTCCCCCCATCCGTCCTGTGCCCTACTCTGGACCCCCAAGATCCTCCATTTGGCTGGTGGCTTGTGGGGGGAGTCACCCCAGCTGGAAGTCCCTCCTTGCCCTTCCCTGTCTGTGTCCTTCTCCCCGCCATCCCCCAGGCCAGCATCTGCCCCTCCTCCAAGCCTTGCGGAGGCCCCAGCTGCTAAGGCCTCCCCCAAGAATATTCCAGTTTCTGGGAATGCCAGTTTTCTGGACCAGAGGCAGGCCTCAGCTACCTCCACCCACCCTGGAGTGCCAGGGGGTCCCTCCCAGGGTGCAGGCTGGCCCCTGCAGGGGTGAGGCGTTAACAGAGGTGTCTGAGGCCTTGTGGAAGGGGCAGGACGGACCAGTCGGGGCGCTGGAGGTCATGTCCACCCCCAGGGTGTTTGGGGAAGCACCAGGTACCTGCAGCCACCAGGTACCTGCAGGGCCTGACTCAGGTGTGTCACCTCCACATCCTCTGTAAAGTGGGGCTTTGGTGACTGTCAACAACTGGTGTCATTACTCAAGTGACCGTGCTCAGTGCTGGGCTGTTGGCAGAGCCTGTCTGGGAGGAGGCAGCTTGGGGGTGGGGCTATACTCTCTGGCCCAGGTGGGGCTCCCTTGAGACTTGGGGTCTGGGAGGATAGTGCTCTTTGTGGGGGACTCTGGATGGGGACACTGGGGCTCCCTTCTCTCAGCCCAGGGGTGTGGGCAGAGGCTGGCAGGGCTGCCCCATGCCGCTGCGGTCAGGATGTCCCCCTTCCTGTTCCTGCGTCCTGACGCCCCAGCCGTGTGGCCACAGGTACGCCGGGCGTTGCCCTGGGCCTCTGCTCTTCCCACCACGGCGCAGGGACGGCAGCTGCTGGAGTGATGGCTGACAGGTGGGCCTGGCCTGTGTGGGCTGCTGGCAGGACCAGGCACGCGGGCCGGCGGGAACAGGCGGGCTTCCCTCCCTCCCTCCCTCCCCCACGCGGGTTCCCAAGGCAGGGTGTGTCCACTGCGGCCTTGGCACCCAGCAGACTCCCCTGGAGCAGACTTGGGGTGCAGCCTCTCAGGGCCGGGGCAGGTCCCTACGCAACTGTGAGGCCTCCCCCACCACCCTGCACACTAGTGGCTGCGCCCCTGCATGGGACCCTGCTTGGAGGAGCCTCACTGGGCTGGAGTTCTGCTGTCTGGCTGGGACTGGGAGGAGCCGAGGAGCCGCCTGGGGGTGCTGGGTGGGGAGGGCGGGGAGGGTGGCCCAGAGGAGCCCCTCATCCCTGTCCCTGACAGCCCAGCCTCACTGCAGGCTGGGGCACAGCTGCAGGCCAGAGACCCTTCCCTGTGCCCCCAACTGGCACAGGGCACCAGGACTGTAGTCCCAGCCCTACCCCTAATGGCTGGGCTCCCCTGGGCAAGTAGCTTCCCTCTCCACCCTCAGTTTTCTCACTTTACCCACCTTGGGGTTGAGTGTGAGGGTCTGGGCTGAAAGGAGAGGACACTGAGGCCCAGAGAGTGGGCTCACCGGCCACTGCCACTGCCCTTGGCCTCCACCACAGGGAGCAGGCTTAGTGGTGGGCGGCCCTGGCCCAGAATCCCCTCCCTTCCTGGTCCCCTCCCTCTCCTCCCACCGGCTGCCCGCCCCTGCAGGGTCTGGGAGGCTGGAGCCCCAGGCAGGGCCAGGGATAGTTGTGGTCTAGCTTTAGTAGAGATGGGGTCTCGCTCTTGCTCAGGCTGAATCTCGAACTCCTGAGCTCAAATGATCCGCCCACCTTGGCCTCCCAGAGTGGTAGGATTACAGGCGTGAGCCACTGCGCCAGTCCACTTTTAGTGTTTTGAACAAACTGATAAGAGTTACTTCGAAGTCTATTAAATCTAACACCTGCAGATGTTTACAGACAGATTCTAGTAGTCGTTTCATTTCTCAGTGTGGATCATATATTCTTGTTTGTTGTATGACTTGTGATTTCTTGTTAAATGCTGGGCATTTTAGATAAGGCATAATAGCAACTCTGGATTCTTATCACCCAGGGTGTGGCTATTGTTTGTGTCTGTTTAGTAAATTTCTGCGACTAAATCTGTCCCAACTCGCTGCTCTCTGTCCTGTCACAGCCTCCCTAGCCCAGTGGCCGTGGCTCTTGTGCACCCTGCATTTGCTGTCAAGTCCAGTGTGCAGGACAGGACTCCACACCCCCACGGGCACACACGCCCCTGGGTCCCTGCCCCTAGGTCCCCCATGTGGCCCTCCCACCTGCATGTCAGCACTGACAGCCACTCTCTCTACAGTGTCTGGCCGGCAGCTACAGCCCGAGGAGCCAGATGCAGAAACCGAGGATGACCGTTCCGTGAGTGAGGCCCAGGGAGCCCGCGTGTCTGCCTCGTGCCCTGCCCCCCTTTCCCGGGCCCTGGGAGAGCCTGAGTGGCTGGAAGTGACTTGGTTTCTCCTCCTGCCAGGTGACTGAGGGGCCTGTGGATGAGATCCTTCGGCCGCGGCCTCAGGGGTCCTCACCTGTCTACGAATGCACAACTGAGGGTGCCGACTTTGGGCCCCAGGTAAGCCTGCCAGGCAGAGCCCACGGACTGGGGGAGGCCCAGGTGTGGGGTCCTGGGCATCGCAGCTCCTCCCGCGTCACCCTGTAGGCGCAGCTGCCGCATGCGTCTGTGTGGCCACACTGCCCCCAGGCCCACTGGACTACAGCTGAGCCCCTCTCGCCTTCCCGCGGACTGCTCCGTATCCCCGGGCCTCTCTCCCTGCAGCTGGCCAGGACACAGCAAGAGGGAGAGGCCCGCAGTACAGGAGCACACGTGTACTGGCGGACAGCGGACGCCCTGCTCCTGTGTGGGGCTTTTCCAGGACACGGGATGTGTGCGCACTTGCACCCGTGTGACACGCACGCTGTCTTTGGTGGGGAGACACGGGCCCCGTGGCTACCTCTGGAAAGGAGAGCTTTTCCTTCTTATCTCCCCCATACAAGATTCCAGCTGCTGGGGTGTAGCGTGGGAGCCGCGGGCCGGGCCCTGTGTGGAAGCCGGAGGGCCGAGAGCTGCCTCTCCCTGGTGGAAGGCTCTGGAGGGACACAGACCCTCCCCGCACAGCTGCGCCTCGGAGGGTCTGGGCCCCTCTGAGCTGAGGTCTCCTGGCCCAGTGCCAGCCTACCTGCGCCCCCCGCCCCGGGCGTGTGCAGTGTGTAACTATCAGCACTTGCAACCGCAGGAAGACGCCCCGAGCCGGCACGTCCCCGCAGGGAGACGGAGATCCTGGTGGAAGTGGGACTCAGGGGACTCGCGGACATTTTTCAGGATGAGTCGTCCGGAGGTGGGTACAGCAGGAGCTGAGGGTCAGCGAGGCATGCCCCTGCACACGGGCTCCTGCCAGAAAGCCCGGGCCCAGAGCAGGAAGGGGAGGAGCTAGGAGGCTGGCGGCGTTCTTGTCCCCCTCGTGAGGCCTGGGGAGGGGCGGGGACTCTGCCCCTGCGATGAAGAGCCAGACTCCTGGCCAGGTGGACCCGGGTGCATGACCTTGTTTTCTCGTCTGCACGAGGGAAACGCTGTGTCTGCCGGCTCCGGCCAGGGCATGAAGGGGCAAGGCAGCACCAGGCCACGTGGCCAGGGCAGGCGCTAGACTCTGCAGCGCCTGGTGAGGAGGGCGTACTGCCACCAAAGCAGCCTGGTCTTCCCTTGGTGGCCCCAACTGTCCAGCAGCTCTTCTGGACGCCGAGGCCCCATCTGTCTGAGGTCTGGCTGGCAGCTCCTTGGCGCCTGTGTCCCTCCCTGGTTTCAGCGCCAGGTGGCCTGCGTGCAGTCGGTGCTCCGGCACTTGTGGAGACAGGCAGCGGGAGGGAGAGCTGTGCCTGTGGGGGAGAGCAGAGCCGCTCTGCCCGACGTCCTGGCAGGGCAGGGGTGGGCAGAGGAGACGGCTGCCACCTAAGGCTGCCTGTGCCTGGTGCCCCACCCCTGCTCTGAGTTGCCTGGGGTGCTGGGCAGGAAGGTGGGGTCCCCATGCTCAGGAGACACAGGCCCCAGCAGCGAGGCCGTGGTGGGACAGGCACACGCTCACCACGGCCCTGATGTGCTTCTTCCCCAGTCCGTGCAGGAAGCCACAGAGGTGACATTGAAGACAGAGGTGGAGGCGGGAGCCAGCGGCTACAGTGTCACGGGCGGCGGGGACCAGGGTATCTTTGTCAAGCAGGTGCTGAAGGACTCCTCTGCCGCCAAGCTCTTCAGCTTGAGAGAAGGTGCGTGGCCAGTCCACCCCTGGGCCCGCTGTCCCGGCCAGCACGGGCGGCACTGGGGGGCCACACCTGGAGCTGGGGATGCCCGTGTCACCTCTCTGCCCAGCTGCGGCCAGACTGGGGACCCAGCTCTGCACACTCGTGGGACGGGGTGACGCCTCCACCCGCTCAGGTGCTTGGTGGGGGAGCTGCGGGCCTCATGGGGCAGCACCCCCTTTGTGGTGTCCCCCGCAGCCTCCTCCCCAGTGAGGGCAAAGGGGCACTGAGGCCGCCTGCTCCTTTTCCGTCCAGGGGACCAGCTGCTCAGCGCCACCGTATTCTTTGACAACATTAAATACGAAGATGCTCTCAAAATCCTTCAGTATTCAGAACCATATAAAGTTCAGTTCAAAATCAAACGGAAACTCCCTGCCTGTGAGGATGAAGACTGGGCGATCAGCGGTACCCAGCGCGGCCCAAAGGGCAAGGAGAAGCAGGTGAGCCGCCAGGTGAACTGCCATGCCTGGCGGGGCGCCCCAGCTGGCTTCAGTGCGTGGCTGAAGCTGGGATGGGGCCAGGACGCCCACCGCTCTCTCCCTGAGCCAGGGGCCCAGGCTTCCTGTACTGGCACCAAGTCCCCTCTCCCTGTGTTTCAGGATGAGGCTGTCGCTGACGAAAGCAAAGAGACTCCCACGAAGACGCTGGAAGGAGATGGGGACCGAGAGAGACTCATTGACAAGCCCCGGGTGGGGAGAGGCAGGCGGTCCCAGAGGGACAGGTTCTCCTGGCCCAAATTCCAAGCAATAAAGGGCAAGCGGCTGCCGGGACCCCGGAGGTCACACAGCTCTTCGGAGGCCCACGACCGCGGGGACAGGCCCGATGTGTCCCCCACGAGCACAGACACGGAGGGCCAGCATGCAGCTGAGCACCAGCAACAGGAGCCAGGGCCAGGTAGCCAGCGCAGGAGCAGGTTCCTGAACCTCAGATTCAGGACCGGATCCGGGCCCGGGGATGGCAGCCGGGAGGAAACTGGGGCTGCCTGGTACTCCAGGAGGCAGGAGGGGGAAGCACAGGTGCAAGAGGCTCAGAGCATGCAGCAGTCCACAGATGCTATGAAAGGCCCCAGTGGACATGCAGGCCCCGCGGCCAGACTCCAGAGGACCAAGGAGGAGATGGCCCAGGGGGAGGCTCTGCCACAGAGGAAAGCCAGGACGAGTCAGGAGAGGGAAGGACAGGGAGTGCAGAGCCTGGAGATAGGCATTGCAAGACTGTCCCTGCAGGACTCAACAGATAGAGGCAGCAGCCACATCTGCCCAACAGACATCAAGGTGCGAATACAGGATTTGAAGACACCCAAATTTGCATTTTCCAAAGAAAGTGTGCTAGAGAAAGAAACAAGCATTGCTGCCCCAGAGGCGACCCAAGGCCAGGGCATGTACTCTACAGAGGGCCCTGGCCCCGAGGTTGAAAGAGCAGGAAGAACAGAAAGCCTGGCAGCCACGGAACCCACACAGGCAGTGCCAAGCCACGAGGGGGCAGGACGACCCAGGAGACCAGGAGAACAGACCACAGAAGAGAGACAGGAGAATGGCACCAACAAGGAGGGAAGAGAAGAAAAAATAAAAGGGGCGAAGTTCAAAATGCCTTCCTTTGGATGGTCACCGAGTAAAGAGCCAAAGGCAGTGAGGATGACGGAAACAAGAGAAAAAGCCAAGGAAGAAGACAAAATCGCAAGAATGGGAACCCCAAGGGTCAGAGAAAAAACAAAGGAGGGAGAAGAGAAAGACACTGAATATATTTCAGTGGACAATAAAACAATAAAAATTATAGAACAAACACAAGAAAAAGAAAGAATAAAAGAAGAAATAGTATTGGAAGAAAAACAATTGGCAGCAAAAGACAGCAGGTTCAAGATGCCCAAGTTCAAGATGCCGTCCTTCGGGGTGTCGGCCCCCGGCAAGTCCATGGAGGCCTCGCTGGAAGTGTCCGCGCCCAAGGTGGAGGCCGACGTGTCCCTGCCCTCCGTCCAGGGCGACCTCAAGACCAGTGACCTGACCATTGAGCTCCCCAGCGCCGACCTGGAGGTCCAGGCTGGCCAGGTGGGCGTCAAGGTCCCGGAGGGCCAGCTGCCCGAGGGAGACCTGGCGGCCCAGGCGTCTGGAGCCGGCCTGAAGGGCCACCTGCCCAAGGTGCAGATGCCCAGCTTCAAGATGCCCAAGGTGGACATCAAGGGCCCCCACGTGGACGTCAAGGGCCCCAAACTGGACCTCAAAGGCCCCAAGGGGCAGGTGACGGCCCCCGAGCTGGACGTGTCCGTGACCCTGCCCGGCGCGGAGCTGGACGTCCAGGCGCCCGGTGCCAAGCTGGAGCCCGTGCGGCTGGAGGGGGACCTGTCCCTGGGCGACAAGGACGTGGCCGCCAAAGACAGCAGGTTCAAGATGCCCAAGTTCAAGATGCCGTCCTTCCCACGTGGACGTCAAGGGCCCCAAACTGGACCTCAAAGGCCCCAAGGGGCAGGTGACGGCCCCCGAGCTGGACGTGTCCGTGTCCGTGCCCGGCGCGGAGCTGGACGTCCAGGCGCCCGGTGCCAAGCTGGAGCCCGTGCGGCTGGAGGGGGACCTGTCCCTGGGCGACAAGGACGTGGCCGCCAAAGACAGCAAGTTCAAGATGCCCAAGTTCAAGATGCCGTCCTTCGGGGTGTCGGCCCCCGGCAAGTCCATGGAGGCCTCCCTGGAAGTGTCCGCGCCCAAGGTGGAGGCCGACGTGTCCCTGCCCTCCGTCCAGGGCGACCTCAAGACCAGTGACCTGACCATTGAGCTCCCCAGCGCCGACCTGGAGGTCCAGGCTGGCCAGGTGGGCGTCAAGGTCCCGGAGGGCCAGCTGCCCGAGGGAGACCTGGCGGCCCAGGCGTCTGGAGCCGGCCTGAAGGGCCACCTGCCCAAGGTGCGGATGCCCAGCTTCAAGATGCCTAAGGTGGACATCACGGGCCCCCAAGTGGATGTGAAAAGCTCTAATGTTGATCGTCATTTTCGTCCCCTCGTTCCTGACTCCGTCTCTGAATGTGGCCCTGGCCTGGTTCATCCTGTAATTCCCGCTTCCCATAGTCACGTGAGTTTCCCTAAATTCTACAAACCAAAGTTTGTGTTTTCTATCCCACAATCAGAAGGTCATGAGGGAGACCCACTGGCGGCTGATTGTGCCCCGGTCCTGTCTCGTCTTAGTCCCACATTGGGGCCTGACTCACCTCAGCTTCCTGAGGGACTCCTGTCCTCGGGCCCTCAGTTGCAGGGCACAGGTTTTCCTGTGCCCCATGGGCTGGAGCCCTCGGAACCCTTACGGTCATCGGCCACAGCTACTGGAAGAGCCCCTGCTGAAGGTGCTGACCGTGACGGGAAAGGGAGTCCATTTAAAGTGCCCAAGCTAGAGCTTCCCTCCTTTAGCTGGTCTCCAAAGAAGTCTGAGCCCACAGCGGGCCCAGAACGCAGCCTGGAGGACTCAGCACACATCCCAGTGTCAAGGCCAGGCCAGAGGGACGCCATGCCTGGGATGCAGGTGTACCGGGTAGATGTGCCCGCACATGTGCCTCCTGAGAAGGACGGGGACCAGGCAAAGTCCATGACGCCCAGCTTGGCCGCGCCAGAACTTGCACTTCCCAAAATGAAGGCTTCCAAGGGCAGAGGCAGCCTGCCACCCGGGGACTCCGACCCCTCACTTTCTGGTAGTGCAGCAGGAGGTGACTTCCAGCCTTCAGGAGGAGCCCACAGTGCCCATGGAGCGGGCACTGGTTCAATAGCAAGTCCCGCAGAAGAACTGGGCGCGATCCCCCATCTTCCCCGGGTGCGCATCCCCAGCCTGGGCTTCGCCACACCGGATCTCAGGTCTTCCAAGGCCAAGGTGGAGGTGAGCCAGGCTGAAGCTGACCTGCGGCTTCCCAAAGGTGCCCTGTCTGTTGGAGGTGGCAGCACGGGCCTTGGGGACGTCTCGGCAAGCCAGCCCTATGGGGTTCCTACAGGCCCTGCAACAGAAGACCCGCTCCAGCCATCCCTCAGGAAAGCAGAGGCTGACGTCCCCGCCGTGGAAAGTCCAGAGGAGGAAGCCGCGGCGGTGGAGACGCCCGTGGACTCTCAGGAGCGCTGGTTTAAGATGCCCACGCTCCGCATGCCCCGGTTCCGGCGCTCCTCCCGGGACAGAGGCCGGGTCGGGAAGCAGAAAGTGGCTGCAGCTGGAGCCAAGGAGCTCCCTGGTCCTTCATCAGAGGTGGAGGGCAGCGTGTCCCTGGGGCCCCCAGAAGCAGAGGCAGATGTGACAGCTTCTGAGAGCAAACTGTCTGCAGGTGTCCTCGGGCAGGATCTTGACAGCACAGCCCTGATGCCTGAGGCCGACCCTTCTTCCAAGGCCAGGATCCAGCCAGCCAAAGGCTCCCTCCCACTCAAGACGGCTGGCCTGGGACTCTCAGAGAGCCGGGCTCCTCCAGAAGGAGGCAGGATTCTTCTTCCCACGCCAGGAGAGTGTGACCCTGCCAGGGTGGAGGAGATGACCCTGCCAGGGAAACGGTCTTCCCAGCCGGAAGGTCCTCTTAAACTGAAAGCTTCAAGTACCGACGTGCCATCCCAGATTTCCGTGGTTAATACGAATCAGCTCTGGGAAGACTCTGTGCTAACTGTCAAGTTCCCCAAGTTAAAGGTACCGAGGTTCTCTTTCCCCGCCCCCAGCGCAGAGGCCGACGTGTTCATCCCCACCGTGAGGGAGGTGCGGTGTCCGGAGGGCGCTGGCGTGGACCTCGGCAGGGAGAGCCCGGGGCCGTGGGAAGCCAGCATCCTGACGGCAGGCGCTGGGGGCCCCGGGGAGCAGCCTACGGACCTCGACCTCTCCTTGGCAGCTCCCCCAATTTCTAGGGTCAGAGTGCACATCCAGGGTGCTCAGGCTGAGAGTCAAGAGATCACCATACACAGCAGGGTGACGCCAGAGTTTGCAGACTTCTCGGCGCCCCGGGCTTTTTCCACTCAGATTGTGCGGGAGTCAGAGATCCCTCCGTCCAAGATTCAAACACCTGCTTATGGGTTTTCCTTGCTAAAGGTGAAAATCCCGGAGCCCCGAACGCAAGCTACGGCACACACAGTGACAAGAGACGCTTGGGCTCGGGAGGGGTCGGAAGAGGCTCCCACACAAGCCTCCCCAGGAGCAGACTTTGTCCCTGGAGAGCTGCAGCCCGACACCGGGGAACCATTCGAGATCATCTCCTCCAGCGTCAGCACACCAGGACCACAGACATTCACCCTGGAAGTTCACTCTGGCCACCAGCTTGCAGACAGCTGTTTGGATGAGGAGCCAGCAGAGATTCTGGAGTTTCCCCCTGATGACGACCAAGATGCAACCACGCCGCTGGCAGACGGAGACAGGGCTCCGAAAGAGAAACCAGAAAGTAAGAAATCAGGTCTGCTCTGGTCCTGGCTTCCAAACATTGGCTTTTCTTCTTCTGTTGATGAGACAAGTGCCGATTCCAAAGAGGATGTCCAGAGACCTGCCCCTGTGCAAACACAGCCCGAGGCAAGGCCAGACACGGAGCTGCCCAAAAAGCAAGAGCGGGCAGGCTGGTTCCGGTTCCCCAAGTTAGGGTTCTCCTCCGCCCCTGCCAAGAAAGGCAAAAGCACCGAGGAGGAGGCAGACCTGGCAGAGCAAAAACTCCACGAAGAAACAGTCACCTTTTTTGACGCCCGAGAGAGCTTCTCCCCCGACGAGCAGGACGACACGGCTGGCGATGACTCTGCGCCCAGACCACAACCACGGGAAGGCCACACGGTGTGACCCGTCATTGTGGCGACACGACAGACCGAGTTAGAAGGCAGAGGCTGCGCGGGGTGCGACCTCCCCGTCCCTGCGGCATGTGGCGTCCGCCTTGCTTCTCAGCACTGGGAACGAAACAAAACGCACTCTGCCTGTGTGTCCCCGCCACATGGCCCTCCCGACGCCCCACCAAAGATGTGCCTGGGTCCCCAAAGCCCGGGCCGGGGAGCAAAGAAGACGGCCTGACTTTCCGTGGACGCCAGGATCCCCCCGGCTCAATGGCTCTCGGTGACATGATGGGGACGTCTGGGGTCTCTGCAGCTTCAAGAGACCTGCCCGCACTGTTCGTGAGAACATGGCTGCTTCTCCCAGGAAAGAGCTGCGTGGGCTGCGGAGCCCGCGGCGTGGAGGTAGCTGCTGGTAACGTCTGTCCTGCTGCTGCTTCCTGGCAAACGTGGTTTTCCGATTTCTGGCAGGGTGCGGGGCGCCCCAGGAAACCCTCCTTCCTGCTCACCTCACGCTTCCTCCTCCACGCGTCTCACTGACGGCAGGCTCCGGGATGCTTCACGCGGCGACACACAGGCCGCGACGGCCGGGGCTGCCCGATGGCTGAGCCCAGTCTGCGGCGGTGGGCGGGGCACGCGGCAGAGGTGCGACAGCAGTGTGCTATCGGGAGCCGTCTGTGTGTGTGCACCCACCTGCTGGCACCTGTCCAGTGTGCGCGGTTCCCCCTGCGCCCCAATGCACGCGCTGCGGCCCGGCTGCAGACAGGGGGGCTTAGCTGGTCCCTGGATGGGCAATAAAGGAAGTGACGTGCCCCACGGTGGAGGCTGCCGGGTCTTTTGTTCTGGGGCTAAAGCCCACCAGAGCCTTGCTCCCCCACATCCCAGCCTCTGCCCAGCTGCTCTGGAGAACAGGCAGGGGACATCACAGAGTTTGTCTGGTCACCTCTGGGTCCAGATCCTCCACAGAGCTGGAGCCTACGAGGGAGATGAAGAAGGAGACCAGGCCGAGTCCACAGTGCGTCAGGGACACACTACCCTCCCCACCCCCCCACGGGGATGAGGGCGCAGTGCAGAGCAGGGACAGTGCAGGGCAGGGACAGTGCAGAGCAGGGACAGTGCAGGGCAGGGACAGTGCAGGGCAGGGACAGTGCAGGGCAGGGACAGTGCAGGGCAGGCCATGGCTGTGTTTAGGGCTGGGCTAAGAAGCTTCCTTCATCTCCACGGCCCTCCTTCTGGGCAGCCCCGGGAGGCGACCCCACGTGGGTAGCAGAGTGAGGTTGTGGGGGGTTCCTAGGGCCTCACACCCCTCCCAGCTGCCCTCGGCTAGCCCGGCCGTGCCCACCAACCCCCCTGCGCGCAGCATACTGGGCAGGTGGCTAGGACCTGGCCTGGGCAGCTCCCGGCAATGAGCACTCGTTGTCTCCGGGGGAGGCGGCTGCTGTCCTGGCTGTGGGTGTGACAGCAGAGCTGGGCTGTGAGCCGCCCTGGAGCACTGCGGCCCCACTGCCTGTGCTGCCCTGAGCAGGGACGAGTGGCGGCCGTGGGTGCGGGAGCATGTGCTGTGGAGGGGAGCTGGGTCCTTGCCCTGTGCCAGCATGGCATCTGTGTCTTTCCCTGTGGCTGGGGGGTCACCCAAATTAGGGGACAGTGAGCTGACACAGGACCTCCTGGGTGCTCGTGAGTGGGGAAGGGAAGAGGGGGTCAAGCCAGGCTGCGGCTTCTCCCAGCCAGGGTTCCTGCCTCCGCTGCAGCCCGAGAGCCAGACACATCTGCAGAACGTAGCCCGGGAACACGGCAGTGGGAGGCTGCCCAGCTCCACAGGGCCTTGGTCCCCCTCTGAACCTGCAGTGAGGGCTGGGGATCGGGTCCTTGGTGCTAGAGGCCAGGGGCAGCTGTCACACCATGTTGGATTCCCACATGGCCTCGGTTCTCGTGTTTGAGTCATCTGTGCCGTGTAAGGATAGTACCACAAATTAGTGGCTTAAAACAACACACATTTATGATCTCCCAGTTTGTGAGGATCAGGAACCCAAGCACAGCCTCACTGGGTTCTTTGCTCAGGGACCACGGGCTGCAATCACGGTTTCAGCTGGGGCTCCGGTCTCTTCCGCAGCGGGGCTGGGGACGGAGCCACTTCTGAAGCTCATGTGGCTGCTGCTCCCGCCCAGTTCAGACTGGATGGCTGAGGCCTTGGTCTCCCGCTGGCTGGGCGCTGCAGCTGCCACCCCAGTGCCTAGCCACGCCGCCTCTCCTCAGGATAGTTCCCAGCCCAGCAGCTCGCTTTGGCAAGGCCAGCAAGGGACAGACTTCTAGCAGGATGATGGCACAATCTTGTGTCATGTGATCATGGGAGGGACACCCCATTGCTTCTGGGTATTATATTAGTTCCAGTGGGGTGCATGGCACAGGTCCTGTGCATGCCCAAGGCCAGGTCACACGAGGGCATCAGTACAGGGGGACCACAGGAGCCATCCGAGTCTGTCTGCCCTGTCCTAGAAGGGGCCACATCATGGTGCCCTTCTGGGGTCTCCCAAGCCCTGTCACATGGGGTTTCCTTGGGAGTGGGGTCTTCTCGGGAGCAGGCCTTTGAGGCTGCCACCGAGGAGTAGCGGCCAGACCCAAAGTGCGTGGAAACAGGCTTTTCACTGGCTTAGGGCCACCAGGCTGTTGTCCCAGTGGCCAGAGCTGGGAATCTCTCTGGAACACGGCCTAGAACAGCAGGCTGGGTGCTTGAGAGGCTGTCCTGTGCTGGGCCAGGAACCAGACGGCAAACCACGTGCAGCCCTGGAGAGCACTGGAGCATGGGTGGGGGGTAGAGGCCACAGGGAGCATGGCAGCTTGGCTCGGTCAAGGGCAAGCCCCCGCAAACCAGCTCCCCGCCCCCGCCCCGCTCCCTCAGCCCCAGGTCCCCTCCGCCCACCCACCCCGCCCCCTGGGGACCCCTCCGTGCACCCACACTTGTAACACATTAAGAGCCACCCTTGGTGGTCATCCTGCGCCCCATCCTTTGTCCCCTGGGCTGTGCCCTCTTCGAGGACCTTGGTCTCACGCTCTAGCTTCCCCTACAACCCCTGAGTCCATGGCACTGGAATTTGGGTCCTGGAGCACACCTGCCCCTGCCCCGTCCCCTGCCTGTCCCTGAGTTCCTGTGGACTCCAGACTGGTGAGGAGGTCACACAGCAGACACCACGGTGGCTATGCTGGGGTGGTCGCGTGGCGACGGGCCCCTCGAGGGTCCCAAGGAGCAGGGAGAGGAGGAGAGGAGGAGATAGGGGAGGAGGTGGGGGAGGAGGAGGGGGAGGGGGAGGGGAAGGAGGAGGGAGAGGGAGGAGGATTAGGAGGAGGAGTTGTTGTTGGAGTGGGGCAGCCCCTGCCCCCTGCTGGTTCACACAGAGGGACTCGAGCACACGCACTTGGGAAGCACACAGCATTCTTTAGGCCTGGCTCATGGGCCAGGACGGGTTCTCTGGGTGTCAGAGGCGGCCAGGCTGGGGGGCTTTCTGGCAGAGGTGGGCTTAGGAGGGGCTGGGTGTGGAGAGCAGAGAGGAGGGAATGGTTTGCAGGTAGCACCAAGAGCAGTCCTGACCCCAGCAGGCTTGGGCTGAAAGCCCAGGCAGAGGGAGAGAGGGGAAGGCCTGGGGGGCCCAGTGTCCACCCGGAGCCAAGAAGGGCCAGGCCTCAGCTGCGCCACACGCAATCCTGGCCTGGAGCTTGTCCATCCAGGCCCACGGCGTAGCGGGAACTCCAGTCCCGCTCGAAGAGTTGCCGCAGCTGCTCCTGCACGGTGGCCACCCCCAGCCGGGCGCAAGGGGCCGTCTGGTTGACCACCAGGCCCACGCCCGAGGTGCTGCTGAAGTAATCTTCTGACCAGTTGGAGGTGCCTGGGGCAGTGGGCAGGAGGACACGCTGGGTCACTGGACTCGCCCAGACAGGCCCCTGCAGCCTGGCTCAACACTGTGGCCCCAGCTACAGGTGCACGGACGGTGGGCACACTGGCCACTCTGCCGTCATCAAACTCCAACCAGGCACTGTACCCTTGCTTAGGTGTGGGAGGGCCCGCTCTTTGCTGTGGGACACCATCCTTATCATCTGACATAGGTGTCCCAACGTCAAGATTTCCCCACCTGCCCCTGTGACAGTTTGGCAGGTTGTCTCATCCCCAAAGTCAGCTCAAGACCCTGACCGCCTTAGGCAGCCCCTCTGTCCTGAGGGGTCCACGCTGAACACAAGAGCAAGGCCTCCTTCAGTGCCAGGCCGCCACCTGGGGCCACATCCCTCCTGCGGTTTGTGTGGTCCCTGTGCATTGCTGGGCCTGGGCCTCCTCCCCGCACTCACCTATGTAGGCCGCCCTCTCCGTGACCATGAACTTGCTGTGGTTCACCCTGCTGAACGGGATGTTGGAGTGATTCCCCACCGGCACGATAAACACTTTCTTTGGAGAACAGAGAGGAGGCACGTCAGGCTGGCAGGGCGGGGCTGCCTCCCCTGCAGCCTGGCCCCCGAGTGCGTCCTCACCACGTCCACGGAGATGTTGGCCGCGGGGTTGCTGAGGGCCTGCAGGGAGCGCAGGAAGGGGAACATGGCGGGGTCCGTGTGGAGCCAGCAGCTGACCAGCAGGCGCACGCGCACTCCCCTGCTGAAGGCCGCCGCGCGCAGCGCGTCGTCTAGCGCTGGCCAGTACCTGGGGAAGGGGAGGTCGGGGCCTGCTTACATGCCCTGGCGCGCACAGGGGACCCGGCTGGAGGGTACGGTGCCAGGCGCTGCCGGGCAGCAGAGCAGGCCTCCAGCTCCAGGGCCGCCGGCTCTCACCAGACCCACCTGGCGGGGCGGGCGAAGCGCGTGGTGGGGAAATACTCCATCACTGAGGCGTAGATGAACTCCTGGGCAGCCCCCATCACCGCCAGCAGCGCGTCCAGGTCTCGGGTGCGGCCTCGGGGGCAAAGCACGGGCGGCGAAGCCTGTGCCAGGAGAGCTGTCCGTGAGGGCCATGCCACCCCTGCCCCGTCCTAGACCTGTGACCCCGCCATGCACCACCCAAAAGGTCCCGTGGCGCCGGCTCCCTGAGCCCTCGGCAGATGCCGCTGGTGTCTGCATAAATCCCAGAGCGAACCAGGGTCCCTTGCACGTCTGGCTAGCCAGGGCAGAGCTGGGGGCTCCGGCGGGCCCCTCCTCAACCTGCTTACCGAGAAGTAGGCGGTGGTGGGCACCCCGTCAAAGAGGCCCTGGAAGGGCTGGGCAAGGTTGATGTGGGATGAGAAGTTCTGAGGCCAGGTTTTGGGGAGGACGGCCTGGGGCGCCCCCAGCACCCAGTAGGTCTGGAAGGTCTTCTCCAGGTCTCGGGCCAGGTGGCTGCAGTTGTAGATGATGGTGCCAAGCTCTTTCACCTGCGGGGACCGGGGCGGCTGCTGCAGGGCGTGGGGCTTCCCTGTGGGGCTGCACGGGGCCCAGGGACAGCCCTGGCAGCACCACCTGTGGGGGGTCTAACGGGCTGTGCTCAGGTGGGTGCCCAGTGGGTTATGATCAAAGACATACATGTTTGTTACCAAACAATGCATCAAAACACAAAAAAGAAAATAAAAATCCTTCCTAATTCTTCAGTGCTAAACACTGTTGCCATTTCCATGATCATTCTTTGACACATTTTTAATGCATTTCTTTCTAAAAATGCTCATGCTTTGTCATCTGCATGGTTCCCTTGACATGTGACCCAGACATCTTTCCCTGTCATCAACCATCACTCCACAGCATGAGCTCAGTGGCCGTGTGGACTCCGTAACTTATTGAACGGTGTCCGGTTGTTTCCGCCACCCGGACATTCTCAATGTGACTTTCTCCAGACGCGCCCTGACGCCAGGCAGAGCCCCAGGGAATGTGGGAGGGGAAGAGCTCTAGGTGGGCGTCGCGTCTCTGGGACCTGGGGCTCACCTGAGTCAGAGACCGCCAGTCCATGTTGGCACTGCCCAGGTACACGTGCCGTCCATCCACGACCCAGAACTTGGAGTGCAAAACACCTCTGGTGAGATGCCCCATGGGCACCTGTCGCACCTGGGCACCTGGTGAGAGTTCAGGGCGATGGATGAATCCGCCCCCATTACAGGCTAAGTTCCTGCCGAACCCGACTGGGCTCTTCACAGAGGGGCTGACGCACGCCCTTACGATACTCCCCCATGGTGATGCCATCACTGTCCCCATTTTATAGGTGAGGATGCTGAGGAAGAGACCAGCCCAGGGTCCCTCCAGGCAGCCTGGCTCACAGCCTGCATTTGTAATGACTGTGCCACATGCCTCTTGCTCCCCAGCCAGGCTCCAGCCTAAGCCTCACCAACAGGTCACAGCAGCTGGGCTCAGCAAGCCTGAAGCTATGCATGCTCTGGCCCGTGGAAAATGACACTTCTAGTCCGTTGGAACCACCTATCCCAAGGGAAGCCACCTCTAAGGAGCTCAGAGCCTGGGCCCTCGTGCTCCTGGGGGTCCTTTCCCACCCATCCACCCCCGTCAACTCTGCTGTTCCTTGTCCTTATCCGCTGGTGCCACAAGAGGGCCAGTGCCCAACTTCCAGGGCAGCAAGGCCCAGGGCAGTGCAGGCCCCTACCTTGGGCTGCCAGGGCCTGTAGGTCAGTAGACTCCCTGGCCAGCGTCGGCTTGCTGGTGGCCACAGCCAGGGAGACGTTCCTGTCCAGCAGCTGCTGCAGCTTCTGCAGAAGGGCCTCCCCCTGCAAGGCCAGGCCAACCGTGAGAGAGGCACCCCTGTTCCGGGATGCAGCCCTGCCCTCAGAAGGCCATACGGACTGCAAACCACTCAGTGTCCGGACAGCTGTCTGGATGAGGATGACCCTTGCTTGGGAGCTGAACTCCACCCAGGCATAGTGGGAGTGCTCTGTCCCCAGAGGCCCACCCCGGACACCTGCCCTGAGAGCCCCAGAGGGAGGGCTGGTGTCCTGACTTGCTGTGTGCCCAGCCTGGGGTGGAGCGGGGTGGGGACAGCCTGTGCCTCAGAGTCAGCAGTGGGGCCAGGGGCACACCGGCTGGGAAGATGAGTCATTGACCCCGATGTCGTGGCCCGTGAGGGACCAGTAGTAGGAGGCCACGTGGACACTCTCCTGGGCAGTGTCTAGCAGCTGCAGCCAGGCCCGGGCCAGTGGCTGGGCAGATGGGCTGCCGGCTGCAGACGGCAGGTCCTGGGGGACACTCTCCACGATGACAAGCCTGTGGGGAAAGATGAGTGCAGGAGTCACCGGCACCCAGCCACAGGGTGGACAGCATCCCCGCACCAGCTAGCTGCTTCACACAGCCTGCTCTGACCCCAGTGGCCAAGCTGGAGGGACTGGCCTACTGTGGCCCTCAGGCCAAGCCCAGGTCAAGGTGGGTGGGTGATGGGGGTGGGCAGGCCTGAGCCCAGCAAGCTGCTGGGGGTGGCGACACTCGGGATTGAGTCCAGGGAGGAGCCTGGGGGGAATGGGGGTGACCCAGCTAGGCTCCCCCTCTCCTGGGGCCCCAGGCGCTGCCCTCAGGGAGCAGTTGCTTCTAAAGCCGAGCAGAGCAGAACCACTGGGTCTGGGGTGGCCTCCTGGTGGGGAGCCCTTGGTGACAGCCAGGGTGGCTCAGAGGGGAAGGGCTGGACTGGGCTGGGAGGAAGTTCGCTCCGCTTTCTAGGGCATGTGTGCCAGGCGGCCGGCAGCCTCTGCCCAGGGCAGGTTCTGGACCCCAGGACCCCCGAAGCAGGAAAGAAAGGTGGAGGGAAGGCCCAGGGGCACGAGGGACAGTGATGCTACCCCTGGAGTGGAGGAGTCGGGCCCCCAGGCTGTGCTTCCCAGTGGCCGGGGCCCCCAGGTTGCAGCCTGTTTGCTGCAAAGGGCACCCTGCATCCCACCCCCACCCCTGCTCTCACCCCCACCCCAGCCCGTAAGGTCCATGCGCAGCCCACAGCGGACACCTGCCCACCTGCCTGCACCCGCAGCCCACAGGCTCACTCACCGGCAGGACTCCTCCCCATCTTGTCCCGTGGGCGCCCAGGCCGGGGGCACTTCCTCAGGGTGCACCTGGCCCCGGGTACCAGGAGTGGGCAGTTGCCACAGAAGGTAGGTGAGGGTCCCGGCACCCAGCCACAGCACGGCCAGCATTCCCAGGACCTGCAGCTGGGCAGGACCGCGCCCCCAGGGGCCTGGGGTGGCTGTGGGCCTCCAGTACTGAGACAGAGACTGTCCCGGCTTCCCAGGAGGACGAGGGCTACAGCAGGGGTGGGGCTGGAGGCAGATGAGGGTCAGGGGAGGATGACACAGAGAGGGGCCCATGCCTACACACTGGGGTCAGGTGGCCACAGCCCCCTCTGCAGTGCTGTGGCCGCGTGCCCTGCAGAGGGATGCGGGCCAGGTCTCAAGCAGCCGGGTGGGCTTGCCTTGCCCACGGTCAGGGCACCCCATTCCTCAAGGCTCCTCTGGGGTAGGTTTTGTCCTTTGAGGCTGTTGAGCCCTGGCCAACACCACCCCTGGATCCCCAGTCCTACGATACCAGCCCCTCTATCCTGTGGGCCATGGGGCTGCTCATAGCAGGGCCACATGGAAGCCACCACTATCTGCAGAGGTTTCAGCATCTGCACGGGGCACCCTGGGGTCACCCGCAGCTCCAGCCCCACCTGGAACTGCCCCTCAGTGCCCAAGCAGCTGGGTGCTGAGGAAACCCCCTCGTGACGTCCCTACAGACATGCACAAGAACCCCCAAATGCTTCCCCACTGCTGCCCAAGGCTACCACCTGCATGTGGGGCTGACCCGGGGCTCCATTCCACACCTTGTTCCTGGCAGCCCGGCCTGCAGGTGGCGGCCCCCACACAGCTGAGCCCTGCCTCTGAGCAGGGGCTGTGAGGCCAGCATGTGGCTGGGACGCGCCCACGCCTTCTGCTCCCCTCTCTGGGTTTCACAGTGGGTGTCGGTCAGAGTCTTGTTTCCTTTGTTTCAACCACAAGTGAAACTGAGTCTGAAAGGGCCATTTCTGCTTTTGCTGCTTGTTCCCTTGTTACTACTGGCCTATAAATAGCGCTTCCCTCCCAGGGCTCAGCCCCATGCTGCCCTTCCTGGGAGCCGTGGGTCAGAGCGGAGCTGGGCAGCACCTGCGTCCTCCTGGACCTGCATGGCTGAGTGGCCCCTACACTTCGGCTGGGACGGAGGGCTCGCCTTGCCCTCAGACAGGCCACTCCCAAGGAGCCAGAAGCGGATTGGCTGGGCCCTGGCTGGCCACACACACAGCAAAGTGACTGTGCTGCCCCAGGTGCCACCCTAGAGCAGGGTGCCCCTCGAGTTCAGAGGTGCTGCCCTGGGGTGCAGGGAGGGGCCTGTGCACAGACAATGGGTCACCTTGGCTGGCCAATGTCTGACCGAGACAGCCACAGGTGCAGGAGTGGTCTGGGGGCTGGGCCTGGGCAGCACCAAGCGCCTGTGTGTGTAGCCGGGCTGGACACTGGGCTGCAGGGGCTCTGGGGGCCAGGCTGGGCCATGGGGACACCAGAGACATCATTGGAAGGCTTGCTCCCCACCCCCATACCTCATGGGAAGAGGGCTTTTGTACCCCTAAATGCCCCAGGTAGACAGGCAGATCAGAGCACAGAAGCTACCACTCATAGACCCCAACTCAGACTTGCAGCCTCAGGCTCCCGGGCCACAGACTCTGAGTGCCGCCCGCCCCAGCCACCAGGAATGGCACTGAGACAGGGAGGGCCAGCTAGGGGGCTCCAAGCGGTTGCAGCTCTGTCCGCTCACTGCAGCTCTGAAGACCTGTGTGTCCCTGGGGTGAGGCTGGCATCTCAGGGCAGAGATGTGCTGCAAGACCCCCGTGGGGCAGAGCTTGGAGCCCCCAGTCCCGTGGTGAGCACCTCCGGACCCTGCAGGCCTCAGCGGTCCTGGCTGAGGCTGGACTTCCTGCCCTGAAGCATGCTGGCACGGCTGCCACCCAGGCTGGGAAGGCTCTGGCTGTAGCGGTGGGGAGGGATGGGCCACCTGCAGAGCCTGTGGAGGCTTCAGGTCCAACCCTCTGGACCTGCGGCTGCTGGGAGGACAGGCCATGGGGAGGTGGGCCTGTGCTTGGCTCCTCCCCGGCTGGCCCAGGTCTCGCCGGCACATACCTCTGGTGGTCCTGCCTTGGTGTCCATCCTGGCTCCAGCCACAGACTGCAGGCCCTCAGCTCCCTGGGCAGACTCAGGCCGGCCAGTCTCCGCGCCCACCTCCTGGAGCAGTTTCCTCTTCTGCTACTTCCTCTTTGTCCGGAGCACACCCCACCCCACAGGCAGCTGCTAGGTGGGCAGGCTGGTGGGTGGGGCTGAGAACCTTCACCTCCAGAGAGAATCTACCCCCAGTCCCTCCCGTCCTCCAGGCGGGGGTCACAGTCCCAGCCTGCAAGCCACAGAAACCCGAGGAACAGCGCCTGAGGCAAGACTGCTCCCTCCTCTCTCACACCCACCAAGTCTAGGGCTGTGGTCGAGAAAGGTCGCTTGCCCACACAGCCCTGGGAACCAGCCCCTCCGGCACTCAGTTCCCATGCACGCACGATGATGACACAGAACAATGCTGACACCCCCAAGCCCCAGCATGTGCCCTGCGATCGTCTCTCCCGACCTCTTCCCCATGCAATCTCCATTCTGAAACTTGGGCTTTTTGTCCCTGGAATTTCGAGATCGTCTCACCAGGCATGTCCTCATCTCCTCACGGAATATTGCGAACTTCTCTCTGTATGTGGGCATCGAGACTCTTCGGTCACTTGCCCTTTTCATGCAGACACATGGATGTTGATCTTGGTTCCCAAGGATTTGGGGGAAGGAATTTTATACAAAATCAGAGAGAGTAACGTTAAGTTGTGTTCTGAGTGTGGGATTGTTCTTAAATGGGCAGGGTCATCCCTGTGTCCAGACTGTGGTTCCTCATGGGAGGTGCTGCTGACCACAGATCACGCACACGGCTGGACAGAGGTTACCGCTCACACACGTGCTTTCACAGTCCAAATCATGTCCCCACGTCTAATGCCTGCAAAAAGGCTCAGGCGTGTGCTTTTTTTGTTGCTGATTTTTTCCTTAGCAGGTGTGCTAAGACACCTTTGTCACTTGCAAGACAAAGCTGGGCTGTCATCCCAAGCGGCGGTTCAGAGAGTTCCCGTTGTTCCGCGTTCCACGTCCTCCCTAAGGCTTGTTAACTTCGTCAGTCTGGTGTATGTAAAGTGGTGTCCGAGTGCAGCTGTCGCAGCAGGTCCCCGAGTGTGACTGACGTTCGTGTTTTAGACACTCACAAGTCACAGGGGCCTCCTCTTCTGGGAAGTCCTGTTTAAGTCTTGCCCATTTTTAAATTGAGTTGTTGACTTTTTCTTCTAGATGTGGAGGATTCATTATATTTTCTAAATTGTCAGTTTTATGTGCAGCATTATCTTCTGTCACTTTGCTGCCTTTTTCCATTATACTTTTTATTTAAAAAAAATTTTCAAACATACAGAAAGTAGAATAGTGTAATGGACACCCCCGTGGTTGGCACTTGGATTTAACAATAGCAAACACCCGTCTCATTTGTCCCAGTGTGATGTTTTTGTGGACTTCATACTCTGCACACATCTGTAAGGGCTCAAGCACACACGAATAACACCTGATCAGTGTAGTTTTTGTCAGGATGACACAGATAACATTTCACTTCTAAATCCTTCAGTAGCACTGGCCAGGCACGGCGGCTCCCGCCTGTAATCCTAGCACTTTGGGAGGCCGAGGCAGGAGGATTGCTTGAGCTCAGAGTTCAAGACCAGCCGGAGCAAAAGCAAGACCCCGTCTCTACTATAAATAGAAAGAAATTAGCCAAACAACTAAAAATAGAAAAAATTAGCTGGGCACAGTGGCGCATGCCTGTAGTCCCAGCTACTCGGGAGGCTGAGGCAGGAGGATCGCTTGAGCCCAGGAGTTTGAGGTTGCTGTGAGCGAGGCTGACGCCACAGCACTCTAGCCCGGGCAACAGAGTGAGACTCTGTCTCAAAAAATAATAATAATAATAATAATTAAATAAATAAATCCTTCAGTAGCATTTCTGAATAAACACATTTGCCACAAAATCACAGCATCATCACTCCTGATGAAACCAGTAATTCCTTAGTATTATCAAATTCACGGTTCAAACTTTCCACACTGTCACCAAAACGTTCTTTACAGCTGGTATGTTTAAGCTTGAACTGAACTGAAATCCACACATTGCATTTGGTTTTCACATCTCTTAAATAACTTTTTCCTCCCCAAACCTTCCCATGCTCCTCTCAGAGTCCCTGCTCTTCCTTTTCCCAGATTACCTATCCTGAAACTGAGACTTGAGGGGACACATTTGCTAAGAATACCACCCAGGTGATGCTGTGTGCCGTGTGCTGTTGGGGTGGAGACCCTGCTGGATTCCAGTCTCCCCACTTGCAGGGAGCAAAGTCCGACCATTTGAAACTGCACATTCTTCCTTACAGCCCACAGGCAGCCTGAGGCTGGTACTTCAGCACCTTGGAAATTCCCAGCTCCTCATCAACTTTTGCTTAGTGGATTTAGTGTCCATTGCTTTTCTAATTTGATAAATATTAGTCCGTCTAACATTTTTTTGGATGCCAGTCTTCTACAAAGAAGTGCTTTCTGTCATCAGCTAAGGTTATTTGCTTATCCCAAAATACACAGGAAGACCTCATGCTATTGCACTTGGCTTTAGTGTGCTTCTCAGACGCTGCATGTTTCACTGAATGAAGGTAGTGGCTATCCTACGTTGATCAAGCCTCTACTGGCGCCATTTTTTCAACAGCATGCGCTCACCATGTCCCTGTGTCACATTTTGGTAACTCTCACAATATTTCAGACTTTTTCAGTATTTTTGTATCTATCATGGTGATCTCTGATCAGTGATCTTTGATGTTACTATTGTAATTGTTTCAGGTGCCACGAACTGTGCTCGTGTAAGACAACAAACTTAATTGCTAAATGTGTGTAGTTCTGCCTGTCCCACCAACCAGCCGTTCCCCCGTCTCTCCCTCTCCTTGGGCCTGCCTATTCCTTGACACCCAGCAATACTGAAATCAGGCCAGTTAGTAACCCTACAATGGCCTCTAAGTGTTGAAGTGAAAGGAAGAGCCACACATCTCTCACTTTAAATCGAAAAGCTAGAAATGATTACGCTTAGTGAGGAAGACATGTCATAGCTGAGACAGGCTGAAAGCGAGGCTGTGCTTATGCCAAACACTTAGCACGTCGTGAATGCAAGGGAAAAGTCATCAAAGGCAATTAAAAGTGCTACTCCAGAGAACACAAATGACGAAAACCCAAAACGGCCTTATTGCTGATAGGGAGAAGGTTTGAGGTCAAACCAGCCACAACATTCCCTTACACCAAAGCCTCAGCCAGAGCAAAGTCCTGACTCTTGATTCTCTTCAATTCTGTGAAGACTAAGAGAGGTGAGGACGCTACAGAAGACAAGTTTGAAGCCGGCAGAGCTTGGCTCATGAAGTTTAAGGAAATAAGCCGTCTCCATAACATAAAAGGGCAATGAGAAGCCACAAGTGCTGACGTGGAGGCTGCAGCAAATCATCCAGAAGATCTAGCTAAGATCATTGATGAAGGTGGCTTCACCAAACAACAGATTTTCTTTTTCTTTGGAGACAGGGTCTTGCTCTGTTGCTCATGCTGAAATGTAGTGGCACGATCGTAGCTCACTGCAACCTGGAACTGTTTTGGCTCAAGCCATCCTCCCACCTCAGCCACCACACCAGCTAATTTTTTTTCTGTAGAGATGGGGTTGTTTTTGTTTTATATTTGTTTTGTTGTTGTTGTTGTTGTTGTTGTTTTGAGACAGAGTCTTGCTTTGTTGCCCAGGCTAGAGTGAGTGCCATGGCATCAGCCTAGCTAGCAGCAACCTCAAACTCCTGGGCTCAAGCGATCCTGCTGCCTCAGCCTCCCAAGTAGCTGGGACTACAGGCATGTGCCACCATGCCCGGCTAATTTTTTCTATATATATTAGTTGGCCAATTAATTTCTTTCTATTTATAGTAGAGATGGGGTCTCGCTTTTGCTCAGGCTGGTTTTGAACTCCTGACCTCGAGCAATCCGCCCGCCTCGGCCTCCCAGAGTGCTAGGATTATAGACGTGAGCCACCTCGCCTGGCCTGTTTTTGTTTTTTTTGAGACAGAGTCTCACTCTGTTGTCCAGGCTAGAGTGCTGCAGCATCAGCCTAGTTCACAGCAACCTCAAACTTCTGGGCTCAAGCAATCCTTCTGCCTCAGCCTCCTGAGTAGCTGGGAGACATGCATCACCACGCCCAGCTAATTTTTTCTACATATTTTTTAGTTGTCCAGCTAATTTTCTTTCTATTTTTAGTAGAGACGGGGTCTTGCTCTTGCTCAGGCTGGTCTTGAACTCCTGAGCTCAAACTATTCACCACCTTGGCCTCCCAGAGTATTAGGATTACAGGCGTGAGCCACTGCACCTGGCCTGAGATGGTGTCTTGCTATGTTGTCCAGTCTGGTCTATAACTCCTGGCTTCAAGCAATCCTCTCACCTAGGCCTCCCCAAAGTGCTAGGATTATAGTCATGAGCCACTGTACCCAGCCCAAGTTAAGATGATCCCCCTGAGATCAGATTTTCCATATAGATAAACAGACTTCTACTGGAAGAAGATGTCATCTAGGACTGTCATAGCTAGGGAGGAGAAGTCAACGCCTGGCTTCAAAGCTCCAAAGAACAGACTGATTCTCTTGTTAGGGACTAATGCAGCTGGCGACTTTAAGTTGAAGTTAATGTTCATTTACCATTGTAAAAATCCTAGGGCCCTTAAGAATTATTTTAAATCTCCTCTACCTGTGCTCTAGAAATGGAACAATAAAGCCTGGATGACAGCACATATGTTTACAGCATGGTTTACTGACTATTTTTTTTTTTCTTTTTTTGAGACAGAGTCTCACTCTGTTGCCCAGGCTAGAGTGAGTGCCGTGGCATCAGCCTAGCTCACAGCAACCTCAAACTCCTGGGCTCGAGTGATCCTTCTGCCTCAGCCTCCCGAGTAGCTGGGACTACAGGCATGTGCCACTATGCCCGGCTGGTTTACTGACTATTTTAAGCCCACTGCTGAGACCTGCTGCTCAGAAAAAAAAGATTCCTTTCAAATTATTACTGCTTACTGACAAAGCACCTGGTCACCTGAGAGCTCTGATGGAGATGTGCAAGGAGATGAGTGTTGTTTTCATGCCTGCTAATGCAACATCCATTCTGCAGCCCATGGGCCAAGGAGTAATTTTAAATCTTATTACTTGAAAAATACATTTTGTAAGGCTACAGCTGCCATAGACAGTGATTCCTCTGATGGATTAGAGGAAATTGAAAACCTTCTGGGAAGGATTCACCATTCCAGATGCCATTAAAAACATTCATGATTCATGGGAAGAGGTAACCCTATCAACATTAACAGGGGTTTGGAAGAAGTGCATTCCAACCCTCATGGATGACTGAGAGGTCCCAGCCTTCAGGGGAGGAAGGCGCTACAGGTGTGCTAGAAACCGCAAGGGAACTGGCGTCAGAAGTGGAGCCTGAGGATGGGACTGAATTCCTGCCATCTCATGATAAAACCTGAGCGGATGAGGAGTTCCTTCATATGGATGAGCAGAGAAAGTGGTTTCTTGAGATGGAATCGACTCCTGGTGAGGACGCTGTGAGCACTGTTGAAATGACAACCGAGGACTTAGAATATTCCACACAGTTGGTAAAGCAGCGGCAGGTTTAAGAGGATCAAATTCAATTCTGAAATAAGTTCTACTGGGAGGAAAATGCTGTGAAACAGCATCGCATGCTACAGACAAATCCTTCGTGAAAGTCAATCAATGTAGCAAACTTCATTGTTGTCTTATTTTAAGAAATTGTCACAGCTACCCCAGCCCTCAGCCACCTAACTGGTCAGCAGTGTCATTGTCGAGCCAGGACCCTGCACCCAAAGGCTGCCGAAGGCTCAGGTGATCTTCAGCATCTCTAGCAATAAAGTATTTTTAAATTAAGGTGTATAGATTGCTTTCCAGACGTAACGCTATTGCACACACAACACACTTCAGTACAGTGTAAATGTAGCTCTCATATGCACAGGGAGACCCCTGCGACTTGCTTTGTCGGAGTGGCTGGAAGCTGGCTTGACTCGGATCTGAAACGTCTCTGAGATGTGTCTGTAGTTCCCGAGGGAAAGGCAGGGTAAGTGCTTGAGTCTTTCTCTTTAATTACCAATTTTCAGGGTGAAAGGTCTGTGCCCTGGGTCATCTCTGGTGGTGGCAGATGAATGTTTGTTTGCTTTTTGTTTTGACTTTAGGTTTTTTTTTTTTTTTGGCTTTTTAATGTCAAATGAGTACATATCATTATGTACTCATAAATTATCATATATTTAATGTGTTTCAGTTCCACTTCAGTCATCATTCTTTGGTCAATGGAGCCTTTTCATCATTTTTCCTGGGGAAGTTTGAGATAAAGGACAGACATAAATGACGTTTCATCCCTAAATACTTCAGCATGCATTTCTAAATAAAAACAGAAAACGTCCTGCATCATCACAACCCTCTTATCCCCCAACATAGTCCACAATGCCAGCTTCTGTGTTCTTTTACACGGCCCCAATAATCCATAAATGATTGATTCAGTTGTTTTCTGGCACAACAAAGTGTTCCAGACTCACCTTGGTACACATTTCCTGCGCCAGGCTGGACTCAGCCACTTTTTCTTGGGGACTGCTGAGTTATTAGATCCAGGGGCTTTATAGTTTTCATCACATCTGGAAAACGTTTTTGCTGTTATTTCTTTGGATATTTTTTTGGGCCTCCACTCAGCAGCATCACAAACCCCCTTGGAGCCCCTCACCCCCACACTTTGCCCTCTAGACTGCCTGTCAGTAAGGTGGCAATTATAGGTTCCCCTCACCTGCTTTCCTTCTTGGAGGTTGCAGTCTTGTGCTGTCTGTTGTCCAATGTCTGCGAACTGCTGTTTGAGATATTTTGCCAGATTTCCCACTGTTGAAGGTGAGAGGCCTCAGCCACCTATACCTCACAGCCAGACACAGAAGCTGCCTGTGTCATGATAAGTTCTTCCTCAAGATAAATAATATCAGCCTTCTCATTAAAATTTCATTTTGAACAGAATTAAAATGTACTTTTTGGGCATAATTTGAATGTTTGGCCATTATTTTAATATTTTTTTCCAAAAGATTTCCCTGGAAATAAAAGGCCATTAATTTTTGCACAGAAAATGTATAGGTTACTTCTTTGTAAAGACCTTTATATATTTGTTGATAACAAAATTAACTGGAGAGGAATTCACGAATCCATGTTTGTGTGCTTTTCTTCGTTTCTGTAAATGACAGGAGACCTGAAGCAGGCTCTGAGCCCAAGCTACCCTGTCTCTGTGCCCACAGGGCTCTCGCTCCCAAACTCCAAGCCACATAGGCAGCTAAGTGTGTCACCCACACAACCTGCTGCTGCTCCACTGCCCCTGTCTCTGGCCAATTAGGCCACAACCTGGCGTCTCCTTTGCCCTGTCCCACCCGCTCCTGGGGGCTGGGCCCTGGTCCAAGCTCCCACCTTGCCTCCCGAGTCCTTTCTAGGCTGGTGTGGTCCACTCACCACACTTGTCCACAGCAACCCCTACAACAGCAGTCCCCAACCTTTTTGGCACCAGGGGTGGGTTTCATGGAAGACAATTTTTCCATGGACTGGGGATGGGGGTTGTCATGGGTGGGGGCATGTGGCACAGAGCTCAGGTGGTGATGCCTGGCCCTCTTCCTAACAGGCCCCAGATGGGTAACGGGCCATGGCCTGGGGGTTGGGGACCACAGGCCCTACAACAGCACTCCCTGGTTAAAACCGTCCTCAGGGAAAGACCTGAGTGTTGAGTCCACCATGCTGGATCCCTGCCCTGCCTGTGCCTCCGGCCACCATGCTCGCCCGCCTCACCTTACCGACCGGCTCACCTCCACCTGCCACAGCCCCAGGCTCTGGGGGCGACTTTCCGAGGTCAGGGCCTGGCCCCGGCAGGCCTTTGGGAAGACTCACCGCCCAGACTTGGGTCTCCCAACCCGGCCCACCCTCCCTCCTCCATGAGGGCCGCCAGGCTGGGCTGTGCGCCCAGGAGCCCTGTGTTCGCTCCCGTCGAGGCGGACACCCCGCAGCTCCTTGCAAGCTCTCCTCAACGTCATGCGTGGATCCACGGAGGGACGCCTGCGGCCTCCTCTCCCCAGCAGCCGTCACTGGGAGCGGAGGAGTGGGGATCCCATGCAGCCAGGACGACAAGCGCGGCTCCCCGGGGGCGGGCGACAGGTCTGGCTAGGCTGGCAGAGGCGACGTGCTGGCCTCGGGCGGGGACTCCAGGTCCGTGGGACACGCAACAGGAGACCGTGGGCTGGGTGTGAGCCGCCTGGCAGCCGTCTTCCTGCTCGCGCCTGCGAGGTGTCCACGGCCCGCCGGGCTCCCGGGTCTCCTCAGGTCCCGCCTGGCTCCCGGGGTCTCCCGGGGTCTCCTCAGGTCCCGCCTGGCTCCCGGGGTCTCCCGGGGTCTCCTCAGGCCCCGCCCGGCTCCCGGGGTCTCCTCAGGTCTTGCCTGGCTCCAGGGTCTCCCGGGGTCTCCTCAGGCCCCGCCCGGCTCCCAGGGTCTCCTCAGGCCCCGCCCAGCTCCCGGGGTCTCCTCAGGCCCCGCCCAGCTCCCGGGGTCTCCTCAGGCCCCGCCCGGCTCCCGGGGTCTCCTCAGGTCCCGCCTGGCTCCCGGGGTCTCCTCAGGAGACCAGCTCATCGCCGGGCTGGCGATGGCGCGAGCAACGCAGGGTCCTGCGTGAGGGGACAGTGCGGCGGGCAGGAAACGGGGCGTCCCTCCTTGCTTCCTCCTCACGTGGGGCCGGAGGGTTTTGAGAACTTGGTCTCCTTCCGAGGAGCAAACATCTGGAAACTTCGCCCGGCGCGTCTGCGCATTGGCTGCCCCCTGGCGGCGCAGCCCGGAACTGCAGCACTGTGTTCGGGACGTCCCGCAGGGCAGGGGACCCCGCACACGGGGACGTCGCCTCCTGCAGGGCAGGGGGACGTCACCTCCCGCAGGGCAGGGAACCCCGCACATGGGGACATCACCTCCTGCAGGGCAGGGAACCCCGCACACGGGGACGTCGCCTCCCGCAGGGCAGGGGACCCGCACACGGGGACGTCGCCTCCCGCAGGGCAGGGGACCCCGCACACGGGGACGTCGCCTCCCGCAGGGCAGGGGACCCCGCACACTAGGACGTCGCCTCCCGCAGGGCAGGGAACCCCGCACACTAGGACGTCGCCTCCCTCAGGGCAGGGGACCCCGCACACGGGACGTCGCCTCCCGCAGGGCAGGGGGACGTCACCTCCCGCAGGGCAGGGAACCCCGCACACGGGACGTCGCCTCCCGCAGGG